TATTGCTGAATTTTGAAATATACGCATGCGTAGACACACCTTGACATCGATGAATAATATATAAAACACAATAATGACCGCATGTTTCCGAGGTAACGTGTTGAATTGTTACTTTGTTATATGTCCACCCATTTGAGCAATTCTCTTCAAGGTAATTAAATATTTCTTGTTTTAATGGTGGAAGTCCAAAAGAATCAAAATACTCTCCTGAGCCATTGTTACTTATTGTTATCGCAACCCAATGTTCCCCAGGCATATACGAAGGATCAGTATTAACGATTATATTAACAGGCAACGAGGAAAAAATAGGTATTTGGTCACAGCTATATACTCCTTTAAAACATTAGATTTAATATACAAAATTTAACTTTATTGATTAATTTAAATAGTATTATTTTTCAATTTTACCAATAAATTAATGATAGACTACATAATAAACCAATAACAAGTTGTTCAAACATGATGAATAAATTAAATTAAATTGGTAAATTTAATAATAAACCTATAACCTTACATAAAATCTATAACTTTATAACTTTGGTAAAGATTAGTAAATAAATATTTTATTACTAAATTAAACAATTTTATACTTTTCTAAAATATATTTGGTGCATATTTTAAGTGCATTTTACATAGATTTAATTTGTGTATAAATCTAATTATAAAACTAAACAAAGTACTAAAGTTATCATGTGGTAAGCATGTCATTTAATTAATAGACTAATGAGTGATCGTACTCACTGGCAATGTTATGCCCGCAAAACCTACTATATTTTATCTGATATCTTTAGTTTACCATAATTATGTTACCCTTGATAAGTGCACTATGTAGAATCTGTTCATTGTAGATACTATATTATAGAGACCATAATATACGAGACTGTTGTGATTTATGTAGACTGTTTATCCTGTTAGTTAGTTAACAAAATTATATAATATACAAGCACAAATAATAATTATTTAAGCACTAGATCCTATGGAACTCAATCGAAAGTATTTATCCACAAGTTACATTTATATCAAATCAACAAAATTAAGGGCAAATTTTAGAGTATTTGTAAATAATTTTCTAAGTCTGTTTTAAAATGGGTATTAAAAATGTATAATTTATTTCCATACCTCTTAAAGAGGTCTTGTGGATAAAAATAATAATAAGTCAGGGCTTAACGGACCTAAGTCCTAAGTAACGGGTCTTTGCCCGACCCTAAGGCGTGGACACACTTTGTGGCCAATGAGGACATCGCACGAGTGTCCTGTAATTCCCAGGTTTTGCGATTTGTTTGTCATAAAAATTAATGCTAAAATGAAATTTTATTATTTCTTTAAGCTTGATATATGATTATTTCACATGAATTTTATTTAGTTAATTACAATGCGACAGCATGATTTAAAATAAATGAATGTAGCCAAAATGTAAATTATCTGACTGTGCTTGGCATAACAAATAATGTATTGTACTTTTACTTTTTCTAACTAAACTTTATATAAAGTTTATATAAACTTTACTTTATGTGGGCACAATGCAAACTCTACCACGATATAACAAATTATGTTTAGTAGATAGGATTTCTGTTTTTCACCGCATGAATAAATTTAATAAATAAACGATATTTAAATTAAATCAAACTAGCTTTAATTCAATTTTGTATTAAAATGATTTATTTGGGTTTCAGACATCGACTCGTTGTGTTGTGTGTAACAAAGTTTTTATATTTATAAGTTATAAATTATAACATTTGTTACAATTTTATTCATTTAAACTTGTTCTGTTCGTGGTATATTTATTTGCTACATCGTCAATATTTATTTGACAAATAAATTATTAAATAATAATAATGTCTCTAAAGTTTTGTGATAACAATTACGCGTATTTAACAATTATTGTTAACTTAACTAATCTTGTTGTTTTAATAAATCCACGTTATCGCAATGAGAAAATGACCATGTGCCTTTGCGCAAAAGGTCATTACTATCGGTGATTAGTTTATATAACATATGTTTCCACTCACATTGAAACTACAATTGAGTCTTTTAATAATTATATTAAATCATGTTTATTTAAATTAATTATGTAAATAAGTACTATGAATAAAAAATTAAAAATATAAACGTATTAAATGTTTAATTTGTAAACATGATAATTTAAGAGTTAATAAATGAGTTATAGTCATGTGTAAATAATGTTATGGAAATGTGCGTACGTTGTGAACCAACCCCACTCTAATCAGTAAGTGATTAAACATGAAAATAAAAACTTTATCTCAAATTATAACTACAAAAAGCTAAACAAATATTACCAAAACTACATTAATGAAAATTTTGAAATATTTAATTTCATTGTCTCAAAATATATACACAGATGTTGACTAAACTATTGTGTGCGACCCTATTGTGCTGCACAATAGCACCGGTATGTCTGGCAAACCTGTGTCCGTGCGAGGATCAGACACTATGCAATCCCATTGAATACGATGGCAAAGAGGTACAGTAACAACGTTAATTTGAACATGCTTAAATCATTGTAGCTCATGATTATTTTACCAATATTTAATTGTGATCATGATCTAATTATCATTCTCAATAAGGTGTACGCTTTTGTGGGCGAATCAAACCGTACGGAATGGACTCAATACGATTGGACCCGTATTACTACTATAGCCCTATTTGGTTGGTACGACCCGGAGCTTATGTGTCATGCTCACAAAAATAAGGCCAGAGTGGTCGGTCTGGGTAAGCCAGATGCTTTTACTACACGATATTAACAGCAACATAATCACGATAAAAATTATCACTAATAATAATGCATAGAAACACATACAATAATACCCAGATCCTATTAAATAAGCACATCATACTAACGCGCTGTACCATGAACTCCAGGTGTTATCCCTAAAGCCGATCTGACCAGCGATGATAAAGTGGACAAATGGATAGCGGATCAGTTGTCGTACGCCAAAGAGCGCTTCCTCGACGGTATTAACATCGATGTGGAGTACGATATCGACGCCGGGAGTCCCGAAGTCGATGCGCTGACCCGGTTTATGGGCAAAGTGCGCGACCGGTTCCACCAGGCGTTGCCCCACTCACAGGTCACGTTTGACGTGCCCTGGAGTCCATACAATGTCAAGGGTATGCATACAAGCACATATCCAAATTAATGTACCTAGCTGTATTAACAAAATAATTTTTATTAAATGATCTCGATCATAGGCACCGGTATAGACGGCCGTAACTATAACTTTACTGCGTTGGCCGATGTGTCGGACTTTTTATTTGTGATGGCGTACGACGAACGGAGTCAGGTGTTTGACACGGACTGTCTGGCTCAGGCCAACTCTGACCTGTTTTGGACGGCGGGTGGGCTCATGGCGTACTTGAAGCTGGGCGTTGACCCTGATAAAATGGTGCTCGGGCTACCATGGTACGGCTACGACTACCAGTGCGTGCGCACCGGTCCCGACCGGACCTGCTTTATCAAAGAGGTGCCCTTCCGTAACGTTAGCTGTAGCGATGCCGCCGGTGTTCAGGTGCCGTACGTAGAGATCAAACACCTGGTGGACATTAGTAGAGGAGCACCGATATGAGCACGCGCATGGGCAGTAGAGATCTGTGCACATCTAATGAAGAGACGGTAGTGTATAGCCTCAGGCAAAATAGCCTGAGGTATAATAAATTAGTAATTTTATTTTTAATATTTTTTATTGAGTTTATTAATATAAAAATACAGTAAGTCGAACGGTTAAATGTAAATAATAAATTAAAAAATTATTAATAATTAAATATAGTTATAGCTAAATGTAAAAGTAGTTATACACAACCTAAATGTTATTATAAATTTCCAGCTGCAAATAGATCGTTTGATTTAATAATCAAATGGTTGTACTCATCCTCATTAAAATAAAGAGTCTTAATATTCCAATTTGACGCATTTGTATAATCGACTCTTGAAAGTAAGAGACGAAATGGGTGTAAATAAAACGCTGCATCAATAAAATATGAGCCACCAAACATACGAAAATGTGTAGGCCTGCCTAAGTCATCTGTGTATGAATGGCCAGGCTTGAATTTAGTTTCATTTGTGGTAAAATCGCTCGTTCCTGCAATGAAAGTGTATAACGTTTTGTATTCATTTTCCATCAGAGCTATTTCATTTTTAGTTTTCCTCTTGGCTTCCACCAAATATAAGGATGGAAATGGGACGTGCGGAACCCAATGGTAGTCTTTTGTCTCAACTTTCAACACAACATAATGTGTTTGTGCATAAGAATACAACGATATTGTTTTAATGAAAATAGTGGAATTGTTAACAGCTCCTAAATTAAATGAATGAACTAATTTTACATTCTCAACATTTTCAATTAAAGACGATATTATAACCGAAAATACAGATATCAAGGTAACAATTCTAGTAATAGTAGTCATGATATAAAAACTCTGATACCGAATTTGTAATAACAACTTTATCACTTGATAGCTAAAAGTTAACTGAGCAGCTAATAAAAAAGTCAGCACATTAAATAGACACAATGTGTTGAATTGAATAAAATATAACAAATATGAATTTTTCAAAAAATAAAATATGTTTATTGAGTATATTAATATAAAGAATACAGCAAATAAATGATTAATTGTAAATAAAAATAAAAAGCTTATAAATGATTAAATATAATTAAAAATAAATGTAAAAATAAAAATAAAATAAAAATAAAATAAAAATGATTAATTAGTTGCGTTTGGAATTACCATAGAAGAAGCAATTTCCAAACCAATATCTGCTGGAAAATAACAAAGTACTAATTTTAGTTAAACCACTCATGATATAAGCACTTGTGATATTGAACTTGCAGTAACAAACTTATCATTTGGCAGCTAGAAACAAAATGAGCTATTAATAAAAATTCAAAGCCTTTAATAGCCACAACATTTTAAAATATATAAAACAGCAAATATAGTCTGGATTAATTTTTAAAAAATATGTTTATTGAGTATACTAATATAAAGAATACAGCAAATAAATGGTTAATTGTAAATAATAATAAAATATCATGTAAATGATTAAATATAATTAAAAATAAATGTAAAAATAAAAATAAAATAAAAATAAAATAAAAATGATTAATTAGTTGCGTTTGGAATTACCATAGAAGAAGCAATTTCCAAACCAATATCTGCTGGCTTGAGCTCCGTCTGTTCCGGGATTGTCATCAAATCATCAATGGGTTGATCCTCGTCGTCAGATTCTTCGCAATTCTGTTGAGCTTCAATCTCAGCCATTTTCTCCACCAGTGAATAAAATGAACAATAATACGCGCGAAGTGTAGAAAGCTCTTTTTTGTAAAGAGTGAGTTTACGAATATCATCGCCAACAATTTGTGTTACAATTATACCACCAGAAACACTAGCAGCTCGAACTTGTAGTATTCTCGCACTTTTTTGAGATTTCAGCTCATTGCTTTGGTTTACTCTGGTTCTATTCTTCATATAAAGAATGTGCTTAGCCAGCCAATCGTATTCATAAGTAGTTAAACAAATTCCAGACTTTTGAGGCTTACCATTATATGTGCCACGAATGTCCACAAGTAAAAAGTCTGGTTTATCGACGTGATGTTTAAGAGTAAGCATTTTCTTAGAACCAAATTTGGTGGATTCTGACAATACTATACTGAGCACATCGACAAAAAGCGAAGATTTTGACATAACGTTAGCCATTGTGTTGAAGGAGCAAAAAATTTTGCGACTGGTCACAACAAGAACAAGTGGAAAACTGATAAAAAATAGTATTAAAGTGTGCAAATGACAAAATTCTTGCGCATGCTTTTATGGTACGTATTTGAGATCTCCAATAGTGAGTTGCTGACAAGTGTCCTCTTTACTATAGTCCGGAACAGGTTGGGGGCGTAGCGACATATTTTCCAAGAACCAATCATCGAACTCTCTAAACAAATAAGGTTCTTGACTACCATTACATTTTTTGAGCTCGATTAAAAATCTTC